AGTGCCCGGCCACCCCGCCGCCTTCCCGGCGGAGGCCGACAGACCGACACGTATCCACCACTGCCGCGGCGCTTCCCCCCGACCGCTTCCGGTGCGTCACCGTCATGGTTCCCCCTCCGCGGAAACCAGCGTCTGGGCTTGCTTTTTCGCTGGACCTGCTGGACCGGGACGGCAGGGCCGGGGGCCTCCCTGTCCCGAGCAGGCGGCTCGTGAGGTCGCTGTTCTATGCGGGCGGCTAAGAGAACACTGGGATCTTTTATTTCTGTGATCGAGCAGCCGGCGGGCCCTTTTCTGAAACGAACCAAGCAGGTCTTCCGCCCGTCGGTTCTTAAACCGGGAGGTGGAAGAGATCTCTGCGCTCTAATTCGCCCGTAGAGAGGACGGTGGCTTTGCTTTCCTTAAAATCGGGGCCTCCAAATCGGACGCTGACAGAAAACTTGAAGTCCGAACACACACTGGCGCCCCGGGCGTTTCACACCGAAATCTGCAGCTTGGAGGAACTCGCGTTGCTCGGCAACGGCGCCGCGGGTGTGTGTGATTGGCTGAGCGAGGCCCGCCCCCTCGGGGCTCTCGGTAAGTGCTCGGGACAGGGGACCTTGGTACTGGACTCCTGTGGGTTTCCCGGCGCTGCGGTCATGGGAGCGGGTGCCACCGGCGAGCCCGAGGTGGGCGAAGTGCTGCCCCAGCACAAGTTCGACCTCAAGTCCCTGGAGGCCTACCTACAGCAGCACTTGCCTGGCTTTGGGGCCACGCCCGAGTCCAGGCTGCTCGTTGCTCAGTACAGGTATCGAGGCCGTCCTACCCTTCTGCGAAAGCCGGTCTGTGCATTGGGCCTTCCTGTCTGCCCAGAGTGGGTTTTTGATTTCTTTTTCCGCACCGATACACCCTGCAGGCAATCAGTCCCTTTGCTTTCTATTCCTGGGTATTCCTGATTCCAGACTGTTAATAGAATCGCATTAAACATTCACCACCTCTATGCGAAGGAATCTTTGTTAAAGGCTATTCTGTGCCTCCAAAGTTTACTGAGGCAGTGAGACTGGGAGCGCTGTGGGAGACAAATGCTTTCTCGGACTTTTGGTGCCACTGTCCTCAGACTTCTGAGAGGTTGGTGTACTTCAGTTTAAATGGTGGGATTCCTAGAGACTGAGGTAATGACACCAGCTAGAAAATCCTAATTAAACCCTAGGTCTAACACTTAGCAAAGGACAAGAATCACTTTGGGTCTTGGTTTCTTTGAAATGAGGGAGGGAACTAGATGAGATTCTCCTGAGAGGAAAGAACACCGCCATTAACCTAACTTTCCTCTGATGTTTTAAAACACAAAATAAATTTTAAAAAACTTTGTGTGGTCCTGGGCTGGGGGAGGGAGGGGGGTTAGGGAACAACAACAGCAACAACAAAAAACCAAAAAACTATATAAACTATGTATCATGAAAAAACTTGGTGGATTTCAATTTTTTGCACCAAAATAAACTCCTACTTTAATTCCATCTTTCCCCAGACTTTCTGAAGTCTCCTCATCCCCTTAGCCTGAAAATACGTTTTTACAGTATTGTTATGGATGGAACAAAGCTTGTATCCATTTAACCTTCAGAAAGCAAAGGTGTCACCATCTCAGCTATCCCTGTGACTGCTCTGGTGGTTTGACTTTACCACCATTCCTGATCCTGAATTTAAATGCTGCCCATGTGGGACCAGCAGATGCCTTAATGGTTATGTCACCGGATTCCCAAGTAGTGTGTGTGGGGGGGGCCTAAATCTTGTCATGCTGGGGGTAGGGGAGGGTGATTTTGGATGATTTCTCTCTTTCTGTCCCCTGTGAGTATACATGCCCTATAGCTAAAATCTCTAAAAACAAAAATGCTACCTATAACCACTTATATTTATTCATACATAAGGCAAAATGTGGGATTTTTCCACTGTGGTGTCATGTCAGTGTGCAAAAAGTTTCAGATTTTAGAGCATTTAGGATTTTGGATTTTCAGTATAGGAATTCTCAACCTGTAGTTAAGGAAATGGATCAGAGAGAGTTTGGGGGTATAGAATTAAAATTAAAATTAGATAAAATTAAAATTAAAAGTAGATACTCGCAGAGGAAGAAAAGGGTGGAATAAAGAATAGTTGAGGTTTATAGCCTGGTAGTCTTGTGTTATAAACAAACTAGAACAGATCAAAGTTCAAATTCCAACCATTCCACTTGCTGTGGAATTTGGACAAGTTACCCTTTCAACGCGAAGTCTTGACTTGGCAAGAAGAGGATAGTAATATTGACGTTCTCAGGTTGTTGAGTTATTTAACTGAATGATACTTAATTCTGAATGAAGTTGAATGCTACACAGACCATAATCATGATCAATAAGTTAAATTATTGATGGAATAAAAACTGCTTCCAGAAATATTAAGTCAACTTGATTTAATATGTAAGCATGGGACTGTGAGCCCCACAAAGAATGCACATACCATTTCACGATATGAAAAGGTTTATAAAAGTAGAAGACATATTAGGTCACAAAAGAAGTCTCCAAAATTCAAAAGTATCAGTATTTAAAAACAATATCATTGGGCCAGCAGGTGGTGTGGTAGTTGAAGTGTTAGATTCCCACATAGCTGACCACTGTTTGAGTTCCAGACCTGGTGACTGGCTTTCTCACTTTCCCTTTCTCTCTCTCTTTGATCAAATGAAAAAATAATAATAACAACAAATAAAGGTAAATAAATAATTCTTTACAAAAAGAAAATAAAAATAAAAATAATATCATTTTTAGAATATAAATGTGAAAAGTTTAACAGAAGAAAGACAGATAAGGTTCAGTTTCTGTGGCATACTCTGTGGTATACCAGACTGTGGAACTGGAAGTCATGTTCTGACTACGGTTCAAGTCCTGGCCCAGTTGTCCTGAAAACATGCTAGATGTGTCCAGGATCCTGTTGGGCTGGAAGACTGGAAGACAGGTTTGTAGAATGACCCAGCCCTATAGAAGAGCTTTTATCTCTCTCTATCTTTATGGTACGTATTTGTGCTCTATCATGATTTTGCTTTTTTTTTTTAAACTAAATAAGGGTAGAGGCCCAGCAGGTATTGTGGTTGTTAAGAAGCTGGACTTGGCAGCTCGAAAATTATGTACATGCATGCATGCCCAAAATCCTGAGAAACAAATGGAGGAGAAGAGACTGAGGTGTGCTATCCCCCCGGGACATGATCTTTCACTTTCTCTCTGTCTTTCTCTGGCAAGAGCATACACCCTATGGCAAAATCTAAAAGAAGAATGAAATCATTCATGTTTAGAAACTAACTGATTCATGGATTAAAGAGCCAATAATCCACACAGATAAGAATTGTCTACCAAAGTTCAATATTAAAAAAAAATCTATTGAACTTCTATAGTTTAGCAATAAACAATTCCAATCTAATTTTCAAAAAGCTACAATTAATAGAAACATTAAAAATACAAATTATTTAAATATTAATACAATAAAAATATGTATGACCTTTATAGGGAACATTATAAAATGTTATTAGGATCTTAAAAAGAATCTTAAAATCATGTTCATGAATAGCAAAATTTAATATTGTGATTTTTTTTTTTTCGGAGAGGTTTTTTGCTATAGGGCGCGTGCACTCACCAGACAGACAGAGAGAGACAGAGAGTCAGAAAGCGGGAAATCACCCCCCACGGGGGATGGACACGCCGCAATCCCTTCTCTTCCATTCTTCTCTCGGGATCTTGGGCACACATGCACACGCGCCCGGCGTGAGTTTTAAGCCACCGGGTCTGGGACGTGAACCGCGGTCGACTACATGGGAGACCAGCGACATAGTCATTACGCTAACTGCTGGTCCTGTGAATTTTTTCTTCCAACTGATCTTTCTTCCAAGGCAATGACCATCAAAATTCTATGTTTTTTCCCTAATTTGAAAAATTCCTTTTAAATCTGCTGTGCAAGAACAAAAAGCCTAAAGAACAACAAAATGGGAAATTCAGATTAAGATGGTATGGTATTAGCACAAAGATAAACAAACAAATGAGGGGACCAGCAGGTGGTGTGGTGGTTAAGGTGCTGGATATACCCACATGGCTGACCATGGTTTGAGTCCCAGACCTGGTGGCTTGCTTTCTCACTTTCCTTTTCTCTCTCTCTCTCTCTCTCTCTCTCCCACACACACACACATACACACACACACACTCCAATCCTCCCTTCCTCTCACCTTCCTCACCCCTGTGTGTGTCTCTTTCTGGTCAAATTAAAATAAAATGAATGAACAAATAAAAGTAAATAAATAATTTAAAGACAAACAAACAAAAAACTCCAAACAAATGAAAGAGAATTCAAAGTTCAGAGAAAGACTAGTATATTTCTTGAACTTTGATTTATGGCAGTACACGTATTGAGAGTCAGTGGTGTGGGAGATTTCTACAATAGGCCACAGAAAAATGGGCAAAAGACTTGAAAATACTTATTCTCATTCTACTGTAGTGATAAAGGAAATGTGTGTAAAAGTCTGGAGATCAGCGCAGAAGTCTGAACCGGACACATACATTTGGGAGTCATTGACAGAAGATATTTAACGCCATGAGTTTGAAGAGTTTATCTAGAAAAATGAGTCCACACAGAAAGAGAGGAGGATTAGAGATTGAGTCCAATGTATTCCAATATTAAGAAGTTGAAAAATTAAGAGTAACTTACAAAGAAGACTGGGAAAGAGGGGCCAAAGAGGGGAAAACCATGGTTTAAATTAGTGACTTTATATTTGTTATTTAAAAATTTTTTTTGGGGGGGTTGTTTGGTTTGGTTTGTTAGAAAGCATGTGTGTTAGAGAGGCAGAGAGAGAGGCGAAAACACTCCCTCATTGAGAGTGGTCATACTGCAATCCTTTCTCCTCCATCTCTCCTTCCTTTTGGAATTTTGTGCATACTTACACATGGCGCCTGGAATGTTTCTCAAACCACCAAGTCCAGGATTTGAACTGTGCAATTAACCAGTAGGCCATGGAGCCAGCCCTTGACTTTATGATTCTGTTTTGATGTCTCTCATCTTGCACTGTGGCCTATTGAATACATAAGATCTGAAGGGGATAGTTTGCCCCTTTGCTTATCTTCACCTTTGTCCTTTAAGCCTCTTAGACCTTATACCCAATGTTTTCTATGCTAAAATAGCATGTCATTGGTCTATTAATCTTCTCCTTTTGCTGATCCTTATCTTTAGCAAATACATTTGAGATGCTATTGGCGTCAGCATCACTAGTTACTTCAGTCTGTGGAAATTCGAAGGGTGCAAGGATACCTATTAGTTCAACAGCCATTACCTGTGTATTATCCTTCATCATTGTTCACTCGCTTCCATAAGCCTGAAGGGCAAACCAAATTGGTTGTTTTCAGAGTAGGTAGTAAACGTCTGAGGCACTGTGCCTAGGGAGTTGGATTCCACATGCCCATCCATGATTCAAATCCCAGCCATGGTGGCTTGAAACACATGAAGACATGCCCCAAATTCTAACAGCATGTGCCTCCTGGGGTCATTTCCAGATGCCCACTCTGGGATCTCACTTATCAGAACTCTCATTGTAGAGAGCAAAACTGACATGCCTGCCTTGGTGACACATATGGGGCTTATCTCTCCAAAGGCAAATGAGGGGACAAAACCCCAGCTGTTCCATCATCCTTTAATTCGTTTTCTGACTGATCACTTACAGGTTCTTCTCTCAGCCTTTATTTACGTAGATGTAGGCATTGTTCCAGGGCAGTAGGCCCCAGCCTTTTGGCGCCAGGGACCAGTGTTATGGAAGGTGATTTTTACACAGACCAGGGATGGGGGGTCGGGGGCGATAGTTTCAGGATGATTCAAGTGCATTACCTTTATTGTGCACTTTATTATTTTTATATTGTAATATATAATGAAATAATTATACAACTCACCATGATACAGCATTTGAAGCAGCTCTCCCTCAGGTAATCAGGCATTAGATTCTCATTTAGGACCACATAACCTAGATCCCTCATGTACAGTTCACAATAGGGTTTGCATTCCTATGAGAATCTAATGCTGCAGCTGATCTGGCAGGAGGCAGATCTCAGAGTCCCAGTGGTAATACAAGGCTGCTAATCTCCTGTGGTGCTTCCCAGTTCCTAACAGGCCAGAGACTGGCACCAGTCCATGGGCCAGAGGTTGGGAACCCCTGTTCTAGGGGTACTTCTGATAAAACAGAATTTGTAGCCAGGGCGTGGGGTCCTCTCTTCTACCTGTATGGGTTACGTTGCCATCAGTTTTAACATCATCCAGAAATTCACATTGTAAGCTGAAACAGCAGCACCCCTCTTGGCTTTCCAGCATTGAGATGGATTTGTTTTCATTTCCTGTTTCTTCTGACATTAGAGTAGGATTTGGGAGAAAGGAAAACATATCTTTATTATTGACCATTTCTTTCATTCTATCTAGATCAGGGCAGTCCAATCCAACCTTTTATCTCCAGAAGGGCTTTCAGACATATGTACTCAGGAAAAAACCGCCAGGTTTACTTCTTCCTAAAGCGCATAAGGTATGGTATACAAATGTAATGATAAATTCTTCAGTGACCAATAAATGCTTTTTATGAGCAAAAAAATCTAAATTCCTTTTAAAAGTCATTTAAATATTATTAAATAATAGAACATATATTTTGGGTCTAGTTAAAATTTTATTTGAATTATATTCCATTCTGTTTTTAAAAGAAATCAGGGTTAAAAATCTAAGACTATCTATAGGTTATTGATCCTGAGCAACACTTTCTCCTCTTGAGGAGTTGACTCTTTACACACTTGCTGGAAGTACAATGAGTATTATCAGTAGCACTAAAATGCAGTAGCACTGGGCACATCAGAGCAAAACATAATGCTTCTGCCCAAGTGCAGCTCTGAGGACCTGGAGTACTTTGTTACAACTCTCTCCCTTGTCCCCAAGTCTGCTCCTGCTCTGCACCCACCTTATGCCTTCCTAACCCTTTCATCCTCTCTCCCTTACAACTCCCTCTTATCTTCCAGTTCAGGGGTGGTTATGAAAACTTCTTTCTACATCCGTTGGCTCTGCTGGCTGCTCTCAACTTTGATGCAGGTTTAGTTCATTCTCGCTCCAGTGCTGGAGCAGTAGCTACTTTACTCCCTAATGTCAAAGTGAGCTGAAAGTTTTCTGCTCCTTAGAAGTCACTGGGTCAGCAGGTGGCATGGAGGATAAGGCACTGGATCTCATGTGGTCAGCTAGGATGCTCAAGTCCTCGATCCTGTGGCTTGAAAAATCACCCCAGACATTCACCCCAGGCAGATATATGTGCCCAAAATCCTCAGAAGAGAGTGGAGGAGAAGGGATTGGGGAATGGCCATCCCTGCTGGGCAGTGATTTCTCACTTTCCCTCTCCCTCTCTGCCTCTCTCTGGCAAGGACATATAACCTGTAACAAAACAAAACAAAGAAAAGCAGTGATCAATCACCATTGCCTTTGTCTGGGACAAGGTGACTTTATATGCAGATGATTTACATCACAGCTCTATAGTAAGCCTTGCCCTTGGGTCCTGACCCATAGGCCTCCTTTGCCTGGTTGAGAGGCCAGTTTTCTTTTCACTCTCTTTTCTTGGCTTCTGCTTGAGCGTCTGTTTCCATCAAACAGGTGCCTGCTTTCCCAGTAGTTAGCCAGAGCTCACTGCAGTGCAGGAAGGATCCCAGTCACTGAGCTTTGGAAATGCAGATGCTTGCTTCCTGTGGCTTTTTGCTTCCTGCCAACACCCACCCTCTTCCCTAGCTCCCTGTAGCTGACTGCGATAGAACCCTAGGAGACACCCGCCTGAATCTTTTGGAGGAATTTGAAAGAAGAGCAAGACAGTGAGACAAAGTGTTGTTTTGTGATGATCTGTGAAAATACTGTGGTCAGGAATTATTGTCTTCACGTTATCAGAGCCAGGATTAAGTCCCAGAAGGTTTCAACCCTTCTATCCTAATTGAATTATCATTTAGTGCTGGTCTAATTTATAATTATAATGTTTGCATCAAGATTACTGTTAAGGAAATTATGACTTTATCTTCTGAGTTATATGTTGACACTATTTTACAACTGGCTTCTAGTCTTAAGTTTAATTTGTAACTCAGCAATAAATTCCTGTTTCTGATTTTCTTAAAATCTATCATCCAATCTAGATCGATAGGGAATTTAAAGTCCAGAAAGCCTTGTATTCTGTTGGATTCCCCGTCCCCAAGCCTTTACTGTACTGCAGTGATGCTTCTGTCATTGGAACCGAGTTTTACGTCATGGAACATGTGCAGGTAAGTTAGCAATCTTACACTGCTGTTGCTTCTATTGTTAATTATGAAGTTAGTTTAGATTATTAGGTAAAGTTTTATTATATTAATAAGTGATACAATTTATTATGAAGCATATTAGCTAATGAGTTTGCTTTGTAAGCACTTAAAACTTTGTTTTAATTTGATCACACACAGTGAAGGAGGGATGGATAAATTAGGAACACATTTAGTAACTGGGGCTGATTGATTTATTCTTAAACTTTCCTCTAGGTGACAGTAAAGAGCTGTATGCAATGGTAGTAATTTGTTCAGAAGGTGGAGGGGAAAACAACTTCATGTTGAAGATCAAAACCATTACAGACAATAAATTCAAGTAGTGATTTATTTATTTATTTATTTATTTATTTATTTATTTATTTAGAAATGTAAGTTGAGAGTAGTTGCGGCCTTTAAGTTCATCATGACATAGCCTTATATTTTTCCTTTAGCATGTATAGTCATATTAAATATGTTTCATAAATGAGCGTCTTTCTAGCATATTTTACGCTGTTGGTTTTGGTTGTAAAAACATTTCAATTACCTGCTGTAATTGGTTCTATAGGGTCGAATCTTTCATGATTTCTCAATTCCTGGAGTCAGCCCTGCAGAACGCTCAGCCTTATATGTGGCCATGACAGAAACTTTGGCTCGGTTACATTCCTTCAGTGTGCAGTCACTGCAGCTGGAAGGTTATGGAACAGCTGCCGGGTACTGCAAAAGACAGGTAACACATCCACTTAAAGAGCTGCTTTTTTTTTTTCAAGTTCTTGGAAATATTATAATATACATAATTGGTTAAAATAAAAACCTATTACCATCTAGACTTCTGAAACTGTTAAAAAATTTTATTTATCATTATATCTTGTTTTAATAATTTGCTACAAGGCACAAGTGTTCACTAGAGAGAGACAGAGAGAGACGGGGAAAGTAAGAAAGCAAGCTGCGAGATCTGGGACTCGAACTGTGGTTGGCCATGTGGGAGTCCAGCACCTTTCCTGCCACGTCACCTGCTGGCCTCTAGACTTCTGAAACTTAGCTGCGACTTTTAACATTATTGTTTTGAAATGGGGCTGTGTAAGCAAAATGACCTTGAAAACTCATCAGAGCTGAGAGACCAAAAGAACGAAGCAGTCAAATCCAGGGCTGGTTAGGAGTTTAATGGGGGAAATTAAGGACAGATGCTATGTTCTGAGTGGCCCCCAAATAAATAGCTAGATCTTTTCATACATGTAAACCATTCACCCCCAAAATACATGTTGTTATAGTTTGTGAGGGAAGGAATTATAATGAGGACTATACGGAGGAAGATGCTTGAGGAATGTAGAGTAGTTTTGGGTGTCATTGCTGTGCGAGATCTGGGACTCGAACTGTGGTTGGCCATGTGGGAGTCCAGCACCTTTCCTGCCACGTCACCTGCTGGCCTCTAGACTTCTGAAACTTAGCTGCGACTTTTAACATTATTGTTTTGAAATGGGGCTGTGTAAGCAAAATGACCTTGAAAACTCATCAGAGCTGAGAGACCAAAAGAACGAAGCAGTCAAATCCAGGGCTGGTTAGGAGTTTAATGGGGGAAATTAAGGACAGATGCTATGTTCTGAGTGGCCCCCAAATAAATAGCTAGATCTTTTCATACATGTAAACCATTCACCCCCAAAATACATGTTGTTATAGTTTGTGAGGGAAGGAATTATAATGAGGACTATACGGAGGAAGATGCTTGAGGAATGTAGAGTAGTTTTGGGTGTCATTGCTGTATCCTAACTCTGATCAGGGACCCACCACTTCCTGAATAAGGATAATGGTCATGTTCAGGAGGTCAGGGAGCCTGGGGACACACAGAGCTCAAGTTGATCTGAATGGTAGGTTAGCCCCACGATGGAGTTACTCTAATTCCTTCATAATCATCCTTTAGGTTGACTTGTTTTTAGCATAAAATAATTTCATATTGTCAGGTCATGTTCAGTTAAATGTTGTTTTATACTCTTCAGTTAGTTTACCAATATATTTTTATACAGTTTTTCTTTTCTAAGTTGAGCTAGCAGACATTTATCCAGCTGGACTGTGTGTTTAATACCTGCTGCGTACTATGTTAGATAGCAGGAAAATAGAAATGGGTTCTTTTTGTAAAGAAGCTTGTGGTTGGGCTGGTCTCCTAGTCTAGGGGTGAAGGGAGTCAGATTCTACATGGCCAACTGTGATTCAAATCCTGGCTCTGGAGACTTAAAAAGCAAACCAGGTGTGGTGTGTGCATGCCCCAATCTCAACAGGATGGAGAAATGGAGGAGAAGGGATTACATGTGTCCGCACCCCAGTCGGGGTGCTTTCTTTCCCTCACTCCTCTCTCTCTGGCAAGTGTGTGTGTGCCCTCTGGCAATCATAAAACATTTGAAAAAAAAGAAACTTATACTAATTTTTGAAAGACCTATGTATGACTGTCATCAGCATGAAACGTGAAAATAGTATAAAGGAGTATATAGCCCAGTAGTAAAGTGATTGCTCATCATGAGAGTTGTACCATCCAGAGGGTTGAGATTGGCATGCCCTTACATTGATGGAAAAGCTAACTGAAAGAGATATAAGGAGACTTCAGAAGTTCATGGCAAAGTGGAATTAAAGTACAAATTAATTTTGGTGCAAAAAATGTGAAATATATATTTTTTTCCTTTCGTTTTTGAGGAACTAAGATACTTCTATTATTTAAATGTAGGTTTTGAAAAAACAGTACTACCAAGATAAAAAGGGATTTCTTAAGAACAGTTCAGTTATTCAATTAAATAGTAAGAGCTTAACCATGATTTTTTTTTTAATCATATTTGGAAAATCTAATGTGTTTACTTTGCTTGTTGAGTCTTTTTCCATCTAGTTTTTTTCAGCTTTGGTGAGTAACTTCTCCCCGTGCCTCTTTTGTTTTCCTGAGGCTAATAAAGTCTGGCCTGTCAACCAAAACTTTTTGCTCTGTTTGTGATCGCCAGAAAGGACCTCAAGTTTCCAGCAGCATTTCTCTTTAACTTCTGTGTATGTTATTACTGCTTAGGCATGATCAGGTTTTTTAAATCTACCATGGCATTCTGTGTCTTAGAAAGTCAACATGAACAACTTCTGAGATCACTGCCAAAGTATCCCAGACTTGCTCCTTGCCAGGGAGGGACTCAGTGCCAGGGGCTCACGATCACTCCGTGTACAAACCATGGTCCTGTCTCATTTGCTTTCTCCTGTGGGTGACGCTCTACACTGCTGGTTTTTCACTTTTCATTCCATACTTATTAGCTACTACATTGTTTGTTTCTATTTCTGACTCCAATTTTATATGGGCTCTTTTATTTGGAAGAACCATGCTGGCTTTTGCAGTGCTAAATAGTCTTTTCAAATCCATCCACTTGCACTTTTGCAGTACTCATGTTGGTATGACCTTGTCTCCCGTTTTATGCCTCTGTTTATGTTTTTTCTTATGCTTCCTTTTTGTTTTTAAGAGAGAACCGTCTTTTATATCTCCACTATCCAAAACTTTGAATGGTTCCTGAATTCGTATGTCATCCTTGCACTGGGGCTATGTTAATGTTCCGATTTATGTATTTGCTGTCGAAGTGAGCACCCACAGTTTTTTTTTCTTTTTTTTAAAATTTATTCATTTTCTACATTAATTCACTATACACCATCACAACACACAAATGAATTTTCCATCCAAAATACACTGTGCATTGGCTCAATCAAGCACATCAACATACATGTTCTCAGCAAATAATTTTCCAATTCTTATGTCCTGCATACCTTGCCTTTTGTTTTGCCATCCTTGATTCCCCATCCCCCACCCTCTGCCATGTCCCATCCTCCTCCCCCATTGTCCCTGGCATCCATGGTTGCCCTCCATGCCTTCCTCCTCCCCCATTCAATTGTTCTGCCAATGAACTTAATTAGTCTAAATATATCCAATAGCTAGCACAGCTGACACATACCTATACATGAACCCAAGTCTGACTTTAGGCATAAACCCCAGTGAGTAGAATGAACATACTATAAAGTAGTACCCAGCTGTGCCCATACAGCTCGCTGCTCATCAAATATGCATTTTTTTTTTTTTTACAAAATGATACGAACAGTTTTTACCGTTTATTTTTTTC